ACGAGACTAGCTGCCCCGGAGTCCACAACGTAGCAGCTGAGATGGGGTAGCTCAGGTTTTTCTGCCCAGCCTTATGCTTCACCCCTAAGTTCTCCACAACTTGGGCCAGTTCCCTGCAACTCAATGGCCAGTTCAGGACTGAGTCATCCTTGGTTCCAATCACAGGTGCCCACTTTGGATAACAAGAGGGCTGGAAAGTGCCACCTACTACTGCCCCAGGAAGTATGACACTTCTCAGCAAAGGGAGCTGGCCTAGACCATCCATCCTTTCAGGTGGAAGGGAAGCACCAGGGAGAGGTGGCTGTTAGTGGTGAGACCAGGGCAGGGGGAGCATACCTGCTCGCCGTGCTTTTCCTTCCAGCTGCACTGGCTCCGTCAGCCTGCAAAAGAAACCCAAAATACCTACATCAGCCAAGGGTGATGACACAGATTCTACCCACTGCCATCCCACCAAGTTCCCGCTCAATATCGGGCTTCAACACAGGGGTGAACTGGTCACAGTAACCCTGCTCCATTTCTCCAGGCTGGAAAAATCTGCCCCCAGCGGTAAGAGGAAGTCAGCACACCCCCAACTCAAGTCTGCTTGGCCCTTTAAATACAACTGAGCACCCATTGCCAACACAAACCCAGCAACCACAGAGCCCTGGGGACTCAGGGAAAAGTAAGTAACCAGCTAAATCTGAGATTGAATTGCACCATTTTTATTTTCAGCTGGGATTTCCAATAAAACAGTAGCCGCAGATTTATTCCTACCAACCGGAGTGGGAAAATCCTATTATGTTAAAATATTCTGTCTCCCAACGCTCCAAGCAGGGGGGAGGCAAGAGAGTGCTGGTTCTTAATCTCTTTTATTTGGGGGTGGGGGATGAGGAGATAAGGCTGACCAAATGAAATTTTCAGAAATCATAAAATTCTGGTTTGGATACAGAGACTGAGGCCCTGGGCGAGGAGGGAGCTGCCTGAAGTCTCATGAGAACTGAATGACAAATACCTGGGCATCCTGACTTTGAGGCCAGTGCGGAGGAACCTCGATGCGGAGGCTGCAGACATAGGGAGAACACCCAGGTTCTCCACCACCTAGGAAGATGCATTCCCTAGCTTTGTCAAAACATTTATAATAATAGTTCAAATACTGCAGGTTCAAAACTGGCACCCGTGTTCCCAAATTCAGAATCCTTTCAATTTTAGAAAGGTAACATGGTGCACTCTAAATGCGAAAACAACCCTGGCAGGGTCTGCGGAGCCCCAAGTACTCAAGCTCACTGATATCTGTATAGTGAAACTTATTGCAGCCAGCCCTGTGTGGGATCAATGAAGACGGCAACTAGCCTCTTCTCGCTTCAGGTCAAGTTCTGCCATCTCGTCAGATCCCAAAAATCTTTTTGTTTTCAAGCTTTTCAAATTTCAAGATTGTGTTTGAGGGGCTGGGAACCTAAAATAAACACAGAGGCAGCTACCTTTTAATGAGTACTTTCGGGAAGTTGCAAACTGGCAAAACCATATGGCAGACTTCTATCCAAAGAATAAATATATAAAAATGAAGGGATTTCACCTCCAAAAAAGGGCCATATCTCAGCTTCTCTTAAAAACAAACAAACAAAAAAAACATAATCCAGGAAGACACAGTCCCACAGGGCCACAGTCTGCTAGATACACTGGGTTCTCCAGTCCCCACCTCTCTCTCTTGCCTTACACCCAATCCTCCAGCCTGGCCCCTGTGGGCACCCAGACTCACTCCCCCTGACAAATTTCCCAGCAGGTACTAATGTGCCTCTTATTCAATCCTCTCGACAGCGCCCCCAACACACATACACAATAGTCCCATTTTATAGGCACAGAGGGACAAAGAATTTAAGTCATTTCTCCAACACCCCACAGCTACAACTACAGGTCTGGATCACTCTAGGCCCATCTTTCTCAGCTCCGTAATATTTTATCTCCTGCCAACTTTCAGGAGAGCCAACTGGGAAATGGGGTGAGCCCATGCAGCCCCATTTCCCACACGAGAGAAATGCAAAAGTGAAGGACAAATAGGGAGGGAGAAATGTGAGGCCTGGGCGGGAGAAATGAATGCGAATGCCGGTGTATCACTTCAATGGGAGAAACAACGCAGAAAATGGTTTGCATATCGTTTCACTGGGAGCAAGGACAGGATCGATTCTAGCCTTTTTCTGACATCCTGCATTCCCCAAATCCTGTCTGTAAAGCAAACGGGAGGACACTGTTTTAATGTCCATACCATAAGAGGCAGGAGTGGTAGGAGGTGGAAACTCTGCCTCAGAGAGCTTAAAAAAAATTGTAAAATCCCAAATGGCCTCTTGTCTTTCAGACTCAACTCTGGGCATGTATTTCTATCATTTCATACATATGTTTACTGTTGTCTTTTTTGTCCTTTTCCTTCATAATTTCACACAGAGTTGACCAGTTCAAGTGCAGTGAACATGTGGGTGGGGAAAAGATTCAGTTTTCGGCCCACCTAATCTCTACCTATGTTCCCTCTTATGACATTTATGATACTTGAGTTTCTTATCACTGGCAGCATCACTCATTTTTGTTTTCCACCCATTTTTATAAAATGAAGACAAAATGCTAAAAATGTTCAAGTTGTGGTCTAAACAAATCCTTCTGCAGGGACTAAGGTGGTGGCACTGGGAATATGGAACCACAGGAGAAAGGAGTGCCACCTCAGCAGGGTATGAAACGTCCATTTATTGGAAGATACAGGAAGCTGATAGACAATGGGCACGAGTAAGAGATGTCCAAGACAGAATGTGTCAATATCACGGCACCTGCCAATCATAACACTTGGGCCTAGCTGAGTCCAGACCCACCATAAGAACAGGAGACAGCCTCTTGGGCCCTCCCAGCCCTAATTGAAGCCCACACTGCTGAAGGCATTGTAGAGACCCATAAGATGCCAAGCTGGCTTGGTCTGTGTCCTCACTAACGCATCATAGAGATCCTTACTGTTTGAATTCAGCTGAACCTCTGACATTGCCATTTTCCTAGGTCCAAACAGTCTATTATCAGAAAATTCATGTGATTCAATCTAAACCACAAATTCACCTTTACCCATGGTAATCTGACCTGATTCTCAGTTTGAACCGAAATTTAAGAGCACAGGGTTTAGAGTCAGACGGCCTGAGTTTGAGTCCTGGTTCTGCCATTTTCTAGCTGTATAATCCTAGGCAAGTCACTTGTACTCACAAGGTCTCAGTCTCCTCGTCTGAAAAATGGCAATAAAGTAATCCTAGGACCTACTCATGGGACTAGCATGAGACTTAAACAAGACAACTGGAATACAGTAAAGCATGTAAAAGTACTTAGCATGGACTCAGCTATAGTAATGATGACCACTAAGAACCCTAGATACAGTTACCAAGGCCACCATGTATTGGGTCCAGAAAACTGAGGCACAGAAACACAGAGTGACTTGCGTAAGATTACACAGCAGATGAGTGAGTGGCAGAGCCAGCCTGGACTACACCAGAGGTCTTCCCAGCCTATCTCTGGCCTGCTCTGAAAACCGTCCTACAAGTCAGCATCTCAAGAGCGTCCACCAGACCCCACAGCCCCTAGGCCTCACCCGAAGGGCTGGTTAGAATGACACTGAATACAGTGATGTAGGCAAAGTACTAAGTGCAGGCCAGGTATGTGCAGTGATTGCTTAAGTAATGGAAACTCTACTTTTGCTGCCGCCACTGGACCATGTACTCCTAGAAGACGCAGCTTCCTGCCATGGCTGTCTGGGTCGCACTTTGAACCTTGCACAAGCTCTTTCCTTTCCCTGGACCTGAGGTTCTCCATAGGTTACAATAAGGACAGGAGGCAGAAGAGTTAAATCCAATCACCTTTGTCCTCTTCTTTCATCTCTGTCATTCTATGTGGAATTGACCCAACCTTAACCAAACCCCTCTATGGCAAATTAAATATGATGGGAGAGAGTGGGCCCATGAGAGTCCTCCTGCTCACTCTTACCGAGGTGGAGGTAAAGGTATCTAACACCCCCAGCTCTCCGTCAGGGTACCTGCACCCCTTTCTCAGCCCCATCCATTCCTTACACAGCAGCTTCTCCCTAGGACCTGGGCAAGGCTATTTTTGGTTTCGTTCGACCCTCCTCTTCCCTCCCAAATGAATGTTAAGTTGTTCTTTTCCATTCTCTTATTAAGGATTTTCTTGGAAAGAAAATATTATTCCAAACCCAGAAATTTTATTTCTAAATTTGTGCAAATGTAAGTTGTAATACATTAGCTGCATTTCACATTTTGTGCAAATGGCAGAAACAGGCAATTCGTGTGCTATGGGATGGGGGCTGGCCAACGATTTCGATAAAATAAACCCTTTTTTAATTTAAATGCTAATGCACTGAATTAAAATTTAATAACTGAGGAAATTGAAAAGCCGAGCAGGAATATTGGAAATAAATCCAAGCAGAAACAGCTGAAATTAAAAATTCTAGAGAGTGGGAGGATAGCAGCTAAGCTGTCTTATATGATTACATTTTTTTTTTCAGAATGAAGCAAAAAAAAAAAAAAAAATCCTATCTCTCGCTGGCTCTAGGGCAGTAAATCCACAGTGCTGTGATTTATTGCTCAATTTTCCTGAGGGAAAAAGGCTTTCTTTCATGCTGAAATATTTCATAAATTTCAAGCCAGCATAAATTCTTAATTTAAAAGTTATGGAGGTCACATTTAGTGCACTGGTACGGTTCCAAAATCTTAAAGGAATAGCAGCAACCAAAAAAAAAAAAAAAAAAAAAAAAAAAAAAGGGGTAGAATTTGCTTTTCTTTTTTTTTCTTTTTTTTTTTTTTTTTTCATTTTGGTTTTAATTCACGACTTGAAATTTCATTATTAAAGATTCCTCCTAGATGGATGAAACCCAAGCACGTGGGGAACTGGTGTGTGTTTGGAAATCTGCTGCAAAAGATGAAGAGATAAAGATTTAATTCAATTATAAAAAGGCATTCTTTTTTTTAAGCCACTTGAGGAATTTCTGGTAAAAATTTCCTCCCTTCATTGCCCGGGAAGGGGTGAGGGTGGGGGAGGGTGGCCAATGTAATTGCTTCTCTTAGATCTCCAATCTTTTGTGCACACTGATATATTCATTTGTTATACAGCTGTTCAACGGCGGAAAGAATGCTGGGGCGCCCATAATTCTAAGCAAATCAATCAAAAATTAATGATTTGTCATGCTTGCACAATGGAGGAAAACAGCTCCTTGGGTCCTGGCTGCCTGATCTCGAAGAATGAAATGCCTTTCTTCGATAAGACAGCCGAGCCAGAGGTTCAGGGAGGCGGAGGTGCCACAGCAAATGTGGGGGCTCCCAGTCCCCCCAAGCTCTGAGGGGATGGAGGGGGCTACCATCTTGGAGGGGGCATC